TCTCTTGAGGGACAACAGCATCTCTGCACTTCTCTCTGTACATGCAACTATAGAAAATAACACCTGTATTTGCTTTGCCTCTTTCTGCAGGGAGTTGTACAGCTAAAGGGCAGTTTGACGGTGCCCTCGGCAGCCCTGACGAACTATATGTACACAACCTACATTGGTAAAAAATAAAAAATAAAAAAATACATGATTACATTACAAACAATGCACCCTGCTGCTGTTTAACTCCACATTCTATGCAAGTTGCACAAAGAGTACAAAGAAAAGGGTGTGAATTGACCTGTGAGAGTTATTTACATGTATATATATACAATTGTCTGGGAGAAGCAATTGGACAACAAGGGGGGGCTATTTACACCGGTGTCCAAATCAACAAACGCAGGGGTCCCCCACAGGGCGAGGGATTCCCCCACAGGGATTCAGGGTGGGGGGGTTCCATCGGCATCAAGAAGAAAAGAAAGACAGCCGGATCCCTGTAGCCCCAGAGGTGGAACCCCAGGATACGGGTGGAGTAGAGGGAACTAGCTAAACCACGTTTCCCCATTATTGACAGAAAGCTTTGCAATACGATGGGACCCCGTCCCCTGCAGGAAAAAGGCTTCTGGATGCCCCGGATCCTTCCACACATGCAGGTTCCTGCAGAAGCTGCACCTGGAGCTCATCAGCCACCAGCAGATGCTGGAGGTGGCCCAGCGCTAGCAACATCTCTCAAAATTACTTTGCTGGTTAGACAAAAGGGGGAGAACCCCATTTTCAACCAGAATTTGGCTCCGTCCAGGATCAGAGAGCAGGACACAGGTGCCCCCCCCCACCTCAGAGGCCAAATCCCCAGTCCGTGAAGGCTCGGCTGGCACACACACACACCCCCCGATGGAGCCCTGTCCGGTTTTAGTCAGGGGTGGCTTCCCTCTATTTCCTCTGTGTCCCAAAAGGAGCTTTTCCTGACTGGGGATGCTAAGAACCAAAGGCTCCTTATGGGACCTGCCCACCCTCCCCCCCACCATGTACCTGGGGGAGTTCCATGGGCATGAACCTGCCAGCCAGCAGATGCCCCAATGCAGCCGCTGGGCCGGAATGGGCTGGAAAGACCCTCCCTCCTGGCGGGCCAGCCTTGAGGGGAGCCTGGGTGAGCTGCCCTGGCCAAACGGCCCACCTCCTGCCCTTTCCAGCAGTTACCCGAGTGTCTCTCAGGGCAAGGCTTTTGCCACCTGCCTCAGAGAAGGGCTTCGCTGGCTGAATGCTTGGGAGGGGGGGGGAATGACCTCCCCCCCAGCCGAGACATGAGCCTCCTCCACTGGCGGGAGACGCCAAGCAGCCGGCCCAGGACTCCCTTCCGCCAGCTTCTCCTTGCCACTCTCTCCCAGACTCTGCCCCCAATTAACTCACCACCAGAGTCCAGATTCTGAACGGCAGAGCAGTGAGGACCCTCTTTGCAAGGATGCCCCCCCCCCCGCCTGTGCCAGCCGCTCATTCTG